GTAATGAACCATCAGGGAAGGTAAAGGCCAAAGGGTTTGGGGACACTCAGAATTCCAATCAAAGTGACCCAAGTGTCAGAACTAGAGCTCTGTACAGTCTGGGTAGCTGAAGCCTAATCACCCACAAGCTCCTGTGTGAGCAGAGGCTGAAGAGCAAGGCTCAGGAGGGCACAACAGAAGGCAGGTACAGAGGAGCCTTGGGAGCACTGGTGCTGCATCGGGCCCTGCATGGCATGAGCTGAGTCACCCTTGCTCTGTTTACCACAGAGATCACACTAGCTCTGAAATAATGCTAATCAGCTTCCCAACTATTCTGGGGGGAAGACAAAGCTTTGGTCCCTGAAAGAACCATGCCTCCCTCTAATTAATAAATGCACATTCTGATTTAAACATCAGCCTTTGAATCAAGTTAGCATAGGTCAGTTGTCTTGGATCTGAATACTTCCTGCTTCGCTGCATATTAATCATGTTTTTTAGTTTTTTTCTATATCTTATGATGATTTCACATTTTGAGGGGCCTTTCAGACCAAGGGAGAGATGGCCCGACCCAGGCTAGCTGATTCCTAAAAAGAGTAAAGAACTGACATGGAAACCATCCCTTTTATCTAATGCTCACACCAAGCCAGTATTTACCTGCCCTAAACCATTCCAGGGGGCCAGGTACCAGACAACTACAAACTACCCTCTAGCCCAAAGCCTGCCCACATTATTCAAACCAGCCAATCCCATGCTGTTACCTTGCCCTTCAGTTAGATGGAAGCCCCACAAGGACTGGCACATCTGTGGCCCACTCCTTTCTACCTCCTCACCCATTCTGGGGCTTTCTCTATAATCCTACAGGCATGGCTGCCCCCTTCTCAGCACACTATGAAGTACTAGGTTGTTGAGATCTGATGTTCAAAGAGTGAGGTGTATTAAATACATTTTTGGCTTATAATACTTTCAACTTATGATGTGTTCATTGGCGTGTAATCCTATCATTAGCCAAGGAACATCGGTGTGTGCCCTTCCATGATTATTGTCTAGCCCAGGTTCAACTTTGGCACTATTGACATCTTAGGGGTGACTAGTTCTTTCACACAAGATTGTCATGTGCACTGTAGGATGTTTAGTTTGTTCCCATTAGATTCTGGTAGCAAGCCACTACTTTTAACAGCCAAAATGTCTCCAGGCATTGCCATGTGTTCCCAGAAGAGCTGAATCACCCCTGGTTGAAAACTACCAGTCTAGACTTTCAATTCTGTAACATACTACCAAGCATTTGTTATTTCAAAAACTGTTCATGGGGCTGAAGGAGTGACTCAAGTGGTAGAGTGCCTGCCTAGCAAGCATGAAGCCCTGAGTTGAAACCCCAGTATGAAAACAAAACCCCAAAACTTATCCATGCTATTCCTAAAATCTCTTAAGAGGACTCAATGTTTGATTGAATAAGGCCTAGAAGAGCTGGGAGACTGGAGTTAAATACTTCAATGAGAACAAAGAATCTCTCACAATACACTTAAACATGTATGTTATACCCTAATCATCTTAAATATCAGCTAAGGTTTTCTTACATTCTAATTAAGAGGAAAGGCTTAAAATCAAATTGCAATTTAATCCACTTTTACTACCTACAGAACTTATTTGTGAAAATATTAGTACCTTTTGTAAAAAAAAAAAAAAAAAAAAAAAAAGAACCCCCACCCAACACAAAAGCCCTTGACAAGGGAAACAGAGGGACATGGACTTCACCCTGTGCTGCACTAGGCAGCAGGTCTCTAAGGTCAGACACAGAAGAGCTGGCTTAGCCCCCACGCTGCTTCCCACTTGGCAGTCAGGCATCACAAGGAAGGGCAAAAGACCACTGGCAAAAGTACATACTAACTCCCAACTGCTCTTGTTGAAGGGTCTGTCTTCAAGTCTTGGTTGATCCTGCCGCTGCCCTTTCTGTAAAAGCCACTCTGAGCCAGTCATTTGATTTCTTAAGTTTATAACACAGGCATTATTTTATCTGTAAGGTGGGGGTTTTACTGGTGTTCTCTCACAGGGCCATAAGAATGCAAGGAGCTGAGAACACAAAGCAAGTCAGGCCAGAGGCAGGCACTCAGCAAAGTCTCCTTAGCCACTTCTGTTTTAAAGATTAGCTTAATGAGTGGCTAAGACACAAGAGGGGTGGGGAGATCTTGTGGACATAGTGAATTGCAGGGTAAGTGTCAGAACTTATTCACTAAATAAGGCAGGGATTCTATTTCAAACAAGAGCACCTCACAGTGTAACTATGTCCCCTGATGCCTGGTAATTAACTTGGGTAATTAACAGTGGTACCTTAGGAATTACCTGAGTTGTCCCCAAAATTTCAAGAATTTACACCATTCAAAAACAATATGGCAGTTTGGGAAAGCAACCTCTCAGAAACACACAGCAGGGACACTGCTATCTATTGCTTGCCTGCCTCCTAAGGCACAGGCATATATCTCTCTACACAGGGAGAAAATGCTACAACACATGAAGTAACCAGGCAACTAAATGGCAGCAAAAGAGCCAAAAAACACCAATTTGCAGATGCGTTTGTGAGGTGCTGCCTGTTATGTACTCTGTCTCACTGGGAAGATGAGAGGATGTCACAAAGTCACATGAAGAACAGCAGCCTCTAAAATAAGGTATTTTAATTGTCCCTGTCACCATTCACTCAGGATGTGTCTTTGGTAAACAATGACAATCCATCTGCCTATTCAAATAGTTAAAAGGAACCAAATCACACACGCATATCACACAAGTGAGGATCTGTCGACATTCCATGAATGGCTGTCCATGGCAGATCTGGTTTATGATCCACCATGTGGCAGATGAAGAAAAAGTAGTCTTACATGCTTCCAGACAGCTAATAGTTAAACATGTCCCTAAAGCAATAAAACATCTGGATGGGACAATCTGACATTTTCTTTGCATAAGATAGTCACGTAGGTCACATGCGTATGACACTTGGTAAGTTTCAGGCCACTAAAAGTCGAGAGACTTAACCTCTAGAATTTCATACATTAGTGAAATAAAAAGAAACTCTCAAAGCCGGCCCCCACCTTCTGTGGGAGGGCCATTTAGCAAAGCCTGGAGACAATATGGGTTGTTACATCTGGGGACATGTTCTGGTGTCTCACTGGCAGAAGCTAGGATGCTGTTCAGTGTCACATCACGTGCAGGGCAATTCACTAAGAAAAGGAGTTATTCAGTACAAAACATCAATTCTACCAAGACTGAAAAACCCTCTCTAGGCCAAAATAAAAATGATCATTGTCTATGGATACAAGACTTGAAATAACTGAGTGTAAATCAAAAGAACTGCGCATATGATAAGACTGTACTGAAGTGGTATGATACAGTTGATGACACAAAATTTAATTATACTTTAGATTCTATCATGTTTCTGCCTGGTAAAGAAGATTGTGTGTTATGAAAGTATGTTTAATAATGACATGCCATTCTCTTATAAGAAATATCCAGGATACTGTTCATATGCTTGGCTCATAACACCAAGTAGTATGCATCAATTAACTAAATTTGATACTAATTTTAAATTAATTGTCAAAATACATTTCAAATGCTAGTGTTGGTGTATTTTAAGTTTCTTTCTGTGAATGGAGATTGCTAGAACTCACCTCAGATGGAGGGAGTCAGCTTCTCTGGGAATGGGATCTGGGAACCTACAATTTCAATAAGCATTCTGAGTGCTTCTTTTGGTGGATTGGGGTTTGAACTCAGAGCTTTGCACATGCAAAGCAGGCACTCTACCACTTCAGCCCTGGTTATTTTTGATAGGGGTCTCTGGAACTATTTGCCCTATCTGACCTTAAACCTTGATCCTCCCAATCTCAGTCTACCCGGTAGCTAGGATTATATCTGTGAGCCACCAGCACCTGGATTCCAGGTGATTCTTATGTGTGATCAAGTTTGAGAACCACTGACTTAGACATGGCTTCTATAAGAAAGATTTTATTTTATTTTATTTTATTTTATTATTCATATGTGCATACAAGGCTTGGGTCATTTCTCCCCCTGCCCCCACCCCCTCCCTTACCATCCACTCCTCCCCTCCCTCTCCCCCCCACCCCCTCAATACCCAGCAGAAACTATTTTGCCCTTATTTCTCATTTTGTTGTAGAGAGAGTATAAGCAATAATAGGAAGGAACAAGGGTTATTGCTGGTTGAGATAAGGATAGTTATACAGGGCATTGACTCACATTGATTTCCTGTGCGTGGGTGTTACCTTCTAGGTTAATTCTTTTTGATCTCACCTTTTCTCTAGTTCCTGGTCTCCTTTTCCTATTGGCCTCAGTTGCTTTTAAGGTATCTGCTTTAGTTTCTCTGCGTTAAGGGCAACAAATGCTAGCTAGTTTTTTAGGTGTCTTACCTATCCTCACCCCTCCCTTGTGTGCTCTCGCTTTTATCATGTGCTCATAGTCCAATCCCCTTGTTGTGTTTGCCCTTGATCTAATGTCCACATATGAGGGAGAACATACGATTTTTGGTCTTTTGGGCCAGGCTAACCTCACTCAGAATGATGTTCTCCAATTCCATCCATTAGCCAGCGAATGATAACATTTCGTTCTTCTTTATGGCTGCATAAAATTCCATTGTGTATAGATACCACATTTTCTTAATCCATTTGTCGGTGGTGGGGCATCTTGGCTGTTTCCATAACTTGGCTATTGTGAATAGTGCCGCAATAAACATGGGTGTGCAGGTGCCTCTGGAGTAACCTGAGTCACAGTCTTTTGGGTATATCTCCAAGAGTGGTATTGCTGGATCAAATGGTAGATCGATGTCTAGCTTTTTAAGTAGCCTCCAAATTTTTTTCCAGAGTGGTTGTACTAGTCTACGTTCCCACCAACAGTGTAAGAGGGTTCCTTTTTCCCCGCATCCTCGCCAACACCTGTTGTTGGTGGTGTTGCTGATGATGGCTATTCTAACAGGGGTGAGGTGGAATCTTAGTGTGGTTTTAATTTGCATTTCCTTTATTGCTAGAGATGGTGAGCATTTTTTCATGTGTTTTTTGGCCATCTGAATTTCTTCTTTTGAGAAAGTTCTGTTTAGTTCACTTGCCCATTTGAAAAGAGAGATTTTCACATCATTGTCACTATAAATAAGGAGCAACAACAATCAGTTTATAGGTATGAAAGAGCAGAGAACAATACAAAGCAATACACACAGTGACCTGAATGGCCCAATGAAAATGACAGCTCTTTCTAAGTGAGGTGGGTAAAAGAAAGTTTACCCACATTCTGTAGCAGAAGCATTTGCCTTTTCAATCCAACTTTTCTTAAGCAGCAATGTTCAATCAAACACAAGGAACCAAGGTCTTCTCTGGTCAAGGTTTACTCTTGGTGTTGTTCATTATTCTTCACTGAAACAGGTGTTCTTAAGTATCTCACTGCCACCAGGTACAGATTAGGTATGTGCTTTAACTTAGCATTCACTGACAAACAGTATGTTCAACTGTACTGAGGTCATAGCCAAAGGATGAACAAAAATTTGGCTTTCAAATAAAAAAGATTTTCATTATGAGTTTTTCTATAGAATAAGCACTAAATTGTGGGCTCAATTGAGATCAAATTTCGAGCAAGTAAGAAAAAAAAAGAGGGAAAAACACAAGTCAAATGAAGCAAAGTGAGGAGATGGTTGTAATGAGATCTGAACTATTACATACCAAGTGCCTGTTCTTTTCAGGCATTTTAAAGACATTTTCTTTCTATAGAAGTAGCAGTCTACCTTGCTGATGAGAAAGTTGAGGACCAGAGCAGTTAAGTAATTTGTTGAAGTTCACCAAGTCAGTAGAAAGAGGATCTGAGATTCAAACACAGAAAGTTAAGTTTTATTTATTTTTCCTTCCCCTACTCCTGCCTGCTTCAATATTCATTGACATCCTTGTAGTGGTTGTGGAAATTTCTTGCATATGTGTAACTCAGTAATCACAAATATTTTAAACTGTCAACATTCTGAGGAGTATTGCATGTTTAATTTTTTTTATAAGTAATTCTCAGGTGCTCCATGGCCTATTTATGTTAGAAACTGAATGGAACTAAGTGCGTTAATACAGGTAGAAATAGTCTAAAACCCTAAAGCACCATACAAATGTGAGGCATTAAGTTATTTATTAAAACTGATTTTGTTTTGAAAATTTTGGATAGATGGCAACAAGATGTTGAGATAATTCTGAAATAATTAGTGATACCCTAGGTTTGAGATAGTGTGAAATCAATAGCAACATATAACATAATGTATTTGAACAACAAAGCAATAATTTTGTAAGTGACAATTAGTCTAGAGGACAGAAGCCTCCCCCTTAGATATGGGCATTTCTCAGAGTTCCATTCTCAGCCTGGCCTCTGCTACCTCACCTACTGAACAGCTTCGATCTCACTTCTACTGTAGATGAAGCATCAACTTACTCACTCACCCTAATCTTTTTCCTGATCTCCATATCAGAAGTGTTTCTTACATCTTAGATGTCTCTTTGGCCTTTTTAACTAAAAATAGTCAAAATCCAACTTATTATCTACATCACTTCTGCTCTTGTATTTGTGAGCCAACAGGAAGAAGACACTTAATATCCAGTGATACTGTGACCCTCTTCATTCAAATCTCTCAACGAACCCCAAAGTCTAGAGAATAACCAATATCCTTGGCACAGTCCCATTTTTCTATTTAGTTCCTGCTATTCTATTTTCCCCTCCTGAATGGACTTTTGTCCACCCTACTGCCATCCTCACTAGTCAGCCTGCTTGCCCTTAAGCACCTGGGTATCCTCAGGCCTCTGGACCTTCACTTTCTCTCCCATCAGTTTCTGAACTTGTCTCCAAGCCTTTGTAGACACTGATCCTCTCTCTCTGAAATGCTTTTCTCTCTTGCAAACTTGAGTCATCCTTACAGTTGTAGCCTGAACTAGAGTTGTCTCCTGCGTGGGCTGGTCAGGACTCCACTTCCTTTATCAGCCCTAGAACACCTCTCCTTCATATACACCTCTGTTATCATTCTTATCTCACTAGATAATAACTGGCTGCTTCTGCTCCATATCTTTAGGGGACACAGGCTGACTGATGGTGAGGGTATCTTTTTCCTTGATTTGCCAAAATTCAGTGTCTATCATATATTAGATGATCAATTGATATAAGATAATGATGGACTACATTCATAGCATTAAATGCTAGGCCTCAGTATCAAAATGCAATGTCTAATAGAATACAAGATGCAGCTGCTTTCCTCCCCAGGTTTATTGAGGTATATTTGACAAGTGAAGTGTAGATTCTTAACCAGAGAGCTATGACCTGCATGGTCTGGATGTTTATATCAGGCTTTGTAATAATAAAAAAGTAAAGTTAAAAAATCTGTAATTCTCTCTGCTACTGCACTAGCCTGTGCACAATCCACCTCAGCACTTACCATACAGTCAAAGTATCATTTGTTTGTCTTCACCCCATGGCCACCATGCCTTTTCTTTTCTTTTCTTTTTTTTTCTTTTTTTTTAATGTGTCAGGGTCTTTCTATGTAGTCCAGGCCAGCTTAAAACTCACAATCCTCTTGCCTCAGCTTCTTGAGTGCAGGGATTGTAGGCCTGTGCCACCATGCCCAGTGCTAGTATGTCACTTAAGGGCAGAAACAAAGTCATCTTCATCTAGCCAACTTCCTAGCATTGAGTATAGGAAGCCATCAATTATTTCCTTAAAATTTTGTTCATAATGTATTCCATAACTGGGTATTAATAATTAAACTTTTATATACATAGAATGTGCCAATTTCAAAAGAATATAAACTAAACAAGTTACATACCAAAAGCTCATTCTTATATTGGATATGTGGTACACAGAACACACATTATCACAAAACAATGTTCAACATTAAGACTGCATTTTTAGCACATTTCATAAAACTTTGTTCTATCCATACTTTGGCTGGAAGTTTGCATATCAGGGGAAATGCAAGATGGGAGGCTATACATTTATCTTTTTCTGAGCATTATAAAAATGTGTAAATATCTGAAAGCATCATCAGCCTCCACTAAACTTCTGTTCTTTGGCTACCACATGCTTTCAGGTGCTAGGTGGGAAAGTGTCAGGAATAGAGGAGAGTGTGGACCAGCAGGTGCCACATCTAAGGAGGGTTCTGGTTTCTATGTCACACACTTCTCATCACCTTCTTTTCCCTGTCCCAGGAAAGCGGGAACCAGTGCAATATGGGAGAAGTAGGGAAGTCCCAAGGGGCAATCCAGTCTGAGGCCCTGCCAAGGAAGGAATACAAACGGAAAGTGTAAGCCAGCAGGACTCAGGTGGCTGAAAGGCAGGCTGGGACACGTGGACAGTTACCTGGACCAATGAGTGAGAAATCCCAATAGCCATCACATCATTCCTGAAACTCCACTGATGCAGAGAAAGACATGGGACAGAAGGTCAGACATGTATGTTGAAGGATTGGTTGCCATTTATATGGCATGGAAGACTCACAAAGTTCTTTCAAAATTTATTTTTGGAAGACCATACCTATACAGAACTCATGGCATTGTTTACTACTTCAAAGAGAAGGTATGAAGAAAAACGATAACAAATGCAGTTCTTTTCATTTTCCAATTATTTGGATCTCACATAAATATGAGTCGTCTTCATTGAATTTCAACACACAAAGTGAATTTTCAGAAGAAACAGAACTTTTTGATGATGTTCATATATCTATAAATATGAATGATGCAAATTTTAGGCCCTGGGATATCAGATGACAAGATACAGCCCAAGCTTCAGCTCTTGCTAATTAAACGAATCAATTAAGAGACTGCAGTTGCAACTGTGTAGCTGCTGTTCTATGGTAGCAATAACAACCCCACGGGGAGGTCTTTCACTACATTAAAATGCTGTCCTCTACAACTCCATCTGATATTATTAGAAACAGTTATTTGTGTCTTGCTGTCATATTAGTAGCAAAGGCAAATTATGGAAATATGCAGACCAGAATGGTCCCAGTATGAGATCAGGTTGGGTTTTCAGCCTCCAAGGGAACAATTGCTGAAATTCCAAAGTTCCCCAAAGTTCTTTAATGGAACTGGTAAATCTATCAGCACAGCATCCATTTAGAAGCCAGGTAAGGGTCACATATTTACATACTTTCCTGCTAAGCTGATACAATTCAACTAGATGAATTATCATATTAAGTTTACCCTCCTGAGTTAAACTGATGGAGTTCAAAATTGTTTTCGATGGTTGTCATTAATCGCTGTTACTTCGTAAATGCTTCCTTTGAAATCTAATTGTGCTGGTGTATCAAGGGTCATATTAATAGCACTCTTAATGGTAAATCTTTGTCAAACATGTTTATTCTACTGATATTATCACTCAAGCTTTCAAGGCTAATAAGAACTAAAGTATATTTATTATCAATGAACGCTTAATTTAAAATGTACAGTTTGAGATTTAAATTAGCTTTAAGAACTTCAGCATCATTTGGTTTCATTAAGATCTCTGGCTAAGCTTCAAAGACATAGCATTTGATAGTTCCTCAAGAGTATTTGGGTGAATGCCAATAACACAGCCATAAAGAGGCTGTTCAGGAGGCTAAGCTTAGCTTCCCTTTTGGGCAATCAGCAGTGCTTTTCCAAGAAAAAAAAATTTCCGTCTCACTGAGGCATGTTTGCCATAATTCTGCAGTGCTTTAAAAATTAAATATAAATGATTATTGGAATACAAAGAGAAAACTGAATGAAATAGCAACTTCTGCATTCTTCAATAAAAAAAAATTTTATCCTATTGTTTAGCATAATTCCAGTAAGGAATTCTGGCTCAGCTAAATAGTACCACTTACATTTCTTTGTAAGCTTATAATGTCTGATGTACACATAGTGTCACAGAATGTAAACAAAGTGAAATAAAACAAACCAAGCAACTTACCATTTGAAATAAGCAGGTATCCTGGAAAACTTCGGGGACATGTAGCTTACCAACTCTGTATGTTATGGACTGAATGTTTGTGTACCCTTGCCCCACATATTCATACATCAAGGCTCTAATCCTCAATATGACAGTATTTGGAGCTGGGGCCTTTGGGAAGTGATTAGGCTTAGATGAGGTCATCAGAGTGGAACCCTCATAATGGGATTAGTGCCTTTGTTAGAAGAGGAGGAGAGAGAGGAGAGGAATGTGAGTGCTTTTCTGTCTGACTGTCTGTCTCTCTCCTCTTTCCCTTCACTCCCCCCACCCCACCATGCCCCCTCTGCCATGTAAAGATACAGCAAAAGAAGGTGGCCACCTGCAAGCCAGGAAAAGACCCTCACCAGGAACTGAATCAGCTGGCACCTTATATTTGGACTTCCCAGCTTCCCCACCCATAACAAATAAACGTATGTTGTTTAAGACACCCAGTCTGTAGTATTTTGTTACAATAGTCCCAGTTGACAGAAACAGTTGTACTGGGCAGGCACTGCAGGGAGCTCCCTGGGGTACACAGTCAAACAGTTGGTATTTAAGGTACTCTGACAGTGAGTGCTTGACCTTAAAATAAAAAAAGACCTGGTTTTTGCATCCAGGTTCTACCAGTTACCAGCACAGAATAGTTATTTAACCTCCCTATGCTCACTTTTGCCTTCTGTTTCAGATGTCTGAGTATGGGAAGGCAAGTCTGGTTACATGGGTGATAACAGGCATGGAAATACTCAGGAAAATAAATGGCCACCCTCAAGAGAGGTGTTAACAAAGCATGGTCCTAAGCAGTATTGGTGCTGTGTACTAGGCTGAACAATGCCATCTAAAAACTCACGTCTACCCGAACTTCATAGATGTGACCTTATCTGGAAATAGGATCTTTGCAGATGGAATTAGTTAGGATGAGATATTACTGGATTTAGGGGAACACTAAATCTGGAAATTGGTGTCCTTAGATTCATGGGAACGAACATGTGCAAACAGAGAAAAAGGCCACATGACAGCAGGAAACTGGAATAACAACTATAACCCATGGAATGCCAAGGACACCAGCCACTACCGGAAGGTGGGAGAAAGCATGTCAGATCCTCCCTGAGAGCCTCTGTGAGGAGCCACCTGAGCCCACATTTTGATCTTAGACTTTTGGCCTCCAGGACAGTAAGAAGACACATTTTTGCTGTCCTAGGCCATCTGCAGTGGTAATCTGCTGTTACAGCCCAGGAAAGTAATACTGAGTTTCATAAATGACATTTGAGGAGTAGGAGATAAAGGAAATTGATAGACTGAAGGCAAAATGTGGATGCTCTAAACAGAAAAAAAGAGACCTTAGGCTTGGGTTGAAAATCATGAGACAAAGGTTTCACAGGGGACAGAATAAATCTAGTGAATGTCAAATCTATACCCTTTATATGAGTCTGAAATCTATCTAAGTGGACAAGATAGGTTCTATAAACAGGTCCCAGGTTGTATATTGCAGTGAGCTGGGATATGAATCCAGTCCACTGGAGGTTGGAGATGGCAGTGTTCAGCACCACACTTCACCCAGGGACAAGTAACAACATAGGCACATCAATGTAACAAAATGTTTTCAAGGGTAACAAAACAGGCCTAGATCTCATACTTGGCTCTTAGCTGCCTCTGGCCAGGAGTGACTGACTGACACAAGTCACTGTAAGAGACAAATCTCCATAGGTCTCCTGCATTTTCCCACTTCTTAGGAATAAGATGCTGACTGTCCTTTGCTCTGGAGGATGTTGGTACACAGGAATGAAAAGCGGGCACAATTACTGCCAACTTATAGAGACTCTGGTTCCCTGAGCTCAGAATTCTTCTGCAGTGCTATCCATTGTGTGTGCAGGAACTATGGGCCCTCTGCCTCATCTGGGGGAATGTGGGCTCAGAGAAATGATGCCTCTGACATTGTAGTAATCTGTCCTTGCCTCTGACCCTGGAGTCTCATGTCCTCTGGCAGTGTCCATGAAACTATAGCAGGCTAATCTGTCAACCTGCAAATTGGGCAAATCTCAAATCCTTCACAGTTGCTGACACTTCCATTTGTAGCTCAGGGTCAGAACTAGTCATAGGACACCAACGTAACCTTTCCTGCCTTATTAAAAATCCACATAATATTCCAGTGGACTAAATTTCCACATATATGTGGTCTCATCCCATGTGCACCATCAGGACACATGTACCCATATACAGAAATGTTTATGGTAGCAGGAAGAGTTATAGCAAAAAAAAACTAGAACCCACCCAATGCTCACCACCAGCAGAACAGTTTATCACAACATCCTATACAGTTGTGAGAATAGCTACACACAACAGGTAACTCTCACAAACAACACAGAGCAAAAGAACCATGCCATAGTGAATTCAGAACACAAGAGTCTCTCTCTCTCTCTCTCTCTCTCTCTCTCTCTCTCTCTATATATATATATATATATATATATATATCCAGTTTAAAAGCAAGTAAAACAGAATTGTGTATAATTTAGGAATGCAAATATGAGGTAAAATGATAAAAGAAAAGAAAGAAATTATAAATATAGGAAAAAGTTTCCTATGGGGTGTATGTGACCTGACTAAGGTTACTTTTTTTTTTTTTAAGATAAACTCCATGGTAGGTATATCTTTTATTCTTTAAAACTTAACAAAGGTTTTTATAAAATATTCTTTTAAGTGTACCAGTAAACATATATAGTTATAATAATTTGCATAATACTTAACATTTACATAACACCTAGTAAAACCAAGTTTTTAAAAAGCAATAAGATACTGGAAGAGAAAGTAACAAAAAACTGACTTTTTCAAAGTTCACAGTGAGTAAAAATATGAGCAAATCAATTATTTTTATGTCTATACCTTCTCTCAATTGAAACACTGGCATTATTTTTAAACCTTAGTGATATAAAAATATGTATCTTTGTCTAAAATTAAATTCTTTTTTGAACACTGAAGTTCATCAATACTTAAAATTCTAAAGGGAGTCTTTCAGCACATGCTCTTGTTCTTGCCCTGTGTCCTGGAAACTCCATCTGCTTCAGACACGTCCACCGAGACAGCACAAGAGCTAGAGAGTAATCTGTACTTCTTGTAACATCCCTCTTTCATATGGATCCATTATTGCCAATTAATGCACATAGAAAATTTAGGGCTGAAGGCATAGCTCAAATGGTAGAGCACCTGCCTAGCAAGTGCAGAACCCCAGTACTGCTCCCCTCCCAAAAGAAAGAAAATTCAACACAACAAATGCCATGGGTCATCTAAACTGCTGTTGTAGATTTTTTTTTCTAGAAATTGCTTTAGAAATTTACATTCTCTCTCTGTATAAACAGCATGGACCCACAGCCTCTTTGGGAGTCATTAGCAATCTATCTCTCATTTACTAGCAGCAGAGGGGAGTGTCAGTGCCATAAAATTCTCTTTTCCATCTTTTTTTTTTATGGATTGCTTAGGAAGGGGGCATGCATGTACTTTTTCTGCTAGTATGATTGAGGGCTTAAAGTGAATGAAAGTAGTGAAGTTAAAGGGCATTTGCTGATGGAATGAGCACTGATGTACCCTTCTTGGCTCTACCTACCACAGGAATATAAAACCAGGATAAGTCATGCTGTGCTTTCTGAGGCAGTTTCCTTATCTAAGGAAGACAGACTGATTTATCTCTAAGGTCTCAAACAGGCTTCTACACTTACTTTTAATCCATTTGTTCCATTCCCAGCACCACAAAAACAATAATAGCAACAACAAACTATAAAGAAAGGAAGGAATAGAGCTAGGCACCGTGCCTTACACCTGTAATCCTAGCTATTCAGGAAGCAGAGAGCAGAACCCAGGCAAATAGTTTGCAAGACCATACCTTGACAAGACCCAACACAACAGGGTTGGCAGAATGACTCAAATGCCTGCCTGGCAAGCGTGAGGGCCTGAGTTCAAACCCCAGTACTGCCACAAAAAAAAAAAAAAGAAGAAGAAATCAAATACAATGCTGGTTCTAGCTCAAGTTGCCATTTGTGGAGATAGGAAAATTTGTGGGAGAACTTTTTGTCTTGTTTAGGGGGAGGAAGATTGCAGCTATCAAGAACAAATGAAGTGTGAGATTTCTCTATTAGAATTCCAGTAGACTTGTTCAGTAACAAAGGCAGCATAAGTGTCTTTACTAGCATATGCACTGAGGGGCAGAAATCAATTCTGTATACTCATTAAAAAGAATGGCTTTAAATACTGACACAGAAGGATGTCCAAGATTTACTGCTGCATGGAAAGATGTCTATTTCTGGAAGAATACGGCCATACTTAGTAACTCAAATACCTCTAGGGGATGTGATATATACTTCTATGATGCTTAATTTTATGTGTCAACTTAGAGAGGCCACAGTATCTAGACAGCTGGTCAAATGTTATCTTAGATGTTTCTGTCAAGGTAGTTTTTAGATGAGATTAACAATATAGGTGGGCCTCATCCAATTATGTGAGGGACTCAGTGGAAAATGACCAACCAACATGGAGGAATTCAGCCGGAAGACCACCTTGGACTTGAACTGCAACTTCTCCCTAGGTTGCCAGACTACTGACCTGCCCTAAAATAAGTATTTCTTCTCGTTTTCTCTGCATATACATAGATACACACACTCATACACCCACTCTGTCAGGTCCATTTTCTTTGAAGAACCATAATACAACTTCTCATATACACAATTCAATAATATTAATTTTGTTTACAGTAAGCCTGTACTTCTTTATTAGTCAGAAAAACAAGAAACCATAATACCTAAAGTTTAGGTTACGCTGAGCAAGTGCCTGCCTATATACATACCACTATACAAATACTTCCTATAAATAAGCTTTACATACATCACTATACAACCATAAGTAAACACACATTATAAATATCCTTCCTTACTGGCTCCAACATTACTACATTTTATATCCAAGCCATAGGCCTCTCTGATAGTCTTAATAAACTGACAAAACTATCAGAAATATCCAACACGAATCTACATTCTGAACAAGGTACCCAACAGGTAAGAACAGGCATACTGCATGTTATAAATAATACCTAGTAAATGAATACATAGAGAAATATTCAAATATAACAGCAATAAAAATTTTTTTAAAGTGTGTCTTTAAATAAACTATTTGAAAATGACAACTAGCGCTACTAATAATTATAAGCTTACATGTAAAACAGCAACTAATCCAGTAAGCCTGTTTTCAGCCCATAAAGTTAAATAGTTTAGATAATTATGGCTAGTATTAGTGGAGGCACAAAGTACTACTCTAATATATGATGGGTGGTGTTCTAATGAGAGATGAAAGAACTGGAAATATGTGTAATAAACCTAAAATTATTCATAGTTTTGATTGTATTTAGGAAGAAATGTATCTTATACATTTTGAAAGCAATTCAAACTTTAAAAAAAGTAAGTTACAAACCAAAATAAGTTATTTTGAATAACTTATTCAAATGCATTATTTTTGTAATGGCAAAAAGTAGAGATAACCTAAACATCTAACATCTGGGATTCAGGGAGAAGTACAATATGTCACATCTACCTATCACAATGTTAAACACAGCTCCACTGAAATGAGGCTGATGAATATTTCTTAATAACACATAAAAAGAATTAGTAATATTTAGGCAAAAAAATTAAGATACAAAACTATTATTCAGTTTCACTGGAAACAGATTTCAAAGGATCTAATAGAGAAAGCTAGAAAGAAAACTGAGGTAAAAAATCAATTTCATTGTTTTCAAAAGTATCTTTAAATCATATGTTCTTATTCTTAATTTGATAACACAGAGAAAATCTCCAATACATAAAAGTACTTAAAATACTCAACAAACTGAAAATTGCTAATAAGAAGTAACTCAAGTAAGTCCATCATGGAAATGTTTCTCACACATTTAGGAACCTGTCTTTCTAGCAGAAAGACATCTCTATTTAACAGCAAAATAAAACTACAATAAAGCCAGCTAGAAACATACAGGCTAAAATCACTGACTACGTCTTTTCTCTATAAATTAATAGAATACACAGAGTATTATTTTGGTACTTACCACTGTACCAAGAAACTGAATGTGCATGTTTCCACCTGCTTCTCGCAAAAGACACTAAAAAAAAAAAAAAAGAAAAACAAGGTATAAAACGACACTGCATCCACACAAAAACTTGTAACAAATGTTCATAATGCCCCCCGAGATCCAAATATCCATCAACTGATGAATGGATAAACAAAATACAGTAGGTCCACAGAGTGGAATCATACTTGGCCATAAAAAGGAATGAAGTACCAACACCTGCTACAACAGAAGTCAATCACAAAGGAACACATAGGTGGTTCCATTTAATAAGAAATGTCTAGCATCGATCTATCATTTGATCCAGCAATACCACTCTTGGGGATATACCCAAAAGACTGTGACTCAGGTTACTCCAGAGGCACCTGCACACCCATGTTTACTGCAGCACTATTCACAATAGCCAAGTTCTGGAAACAGCCAAGATGCCCCACCACCGACAAATGGATCAAGAAAATGTGGTATCTCTACACAATGGAATTTTATGCAGCCATGAAGAAGAACGAAATGTTATCATTTGCTGGTAAATGGATGGAATTGGAGAACATCATTCTGAGTGAGGTTAGCCTGGCCCAAAAGACCAAAAATCGTATGTTCTCCCTCATATGCAGACATTAGATCAAGGGCAAACACAACAATGGGATTAGACTATGAGCACATGATAGAAGCGAGAGCACACAAGGGAGGGGTGAGGATAGGTAAGACACCTAAAAAATTAGCTAGCATTTGTTGCCCTTAACGCAGAGAAACTAAAGCAGATACCTTAAAAGCAACTGAGGCCAACAGGAAAAGGGGAACAGGAACTAGAGAAAAGGTGAGATCAAACAGAATTAACCTAGAAGGTAATACACACACACAGGAAATCAATGTGAGTCAATGCTCCGTATAGCTATCCTTATCTCAACCAGCAATAACCCTTGTTTCTTCCTATTATAGCTTATACTTTCTCTACAACAAAATGAGAAATAAGGGCAAAAGTTTCTGCTGGGTATTGAGGGGGTGGGGGGGAGAGGGAGGGGGCGGAGTGGGTGGTAAGGGAGAGGGGGTGGGGGCAGGGGGGAGAAATGACCCAAGCCTTGTATGCACATATGAATAATAAAAGGAAAAAAAAAAAAGAAATGTCTAGAAGAGTCAGTCCACAGGGATAGAAGGTAGACTGGGGTTGCCTCAGGGAGAGGGGTGGGAGGAGATGGGGAATAACTGCTGATTGGTGTAGGATTTGTTTTGGGTGTGTGAAATGTCTGAAAGTTGACTATGGCAATGATTGTCTTCTCTTGAGCAGACTAAAACCACTGGATTGTACATTTCAATGAGCTAATTATATGGTAGTGAATATTTCAATAAGATTATTGAAATGAATTACCATTTAAAAATAATAATAATGAGAACAATGCAATTCTTCTGTGCCCAGAGAATAGTGAAAAAAGAATTTAGCTCTAATACACATTTACTTGTAAATTAAAGATGTTCAAAGCAAATACATTATTATTTACATATCAATCTTACTTGTTTGAACTTTAGTACAATAGATGTAAATTAGACTTTTTCCAGATCATTCCCACCTATAAAATTGCTCTATTTAATCCTAACCTGTTCCTCAAAACTATTCTTCTGTGCTAATCAGAGAGGGCCTGGTGGCTTCAAAGATCATGCCCACAAATGAAGTCATTCTAAACAAACAAGGATGGTTTTCTTTTTTGTGGTTCCCACAGTCTATGGCCATGCCACCCAGAATGCACCTGATATCTGATCTCGGAAGCTAAGCAGGGTTGGGGCCTGGTTAGTACTTGGATGGGAGGCTGGAGTTCCCAGATATAACTCTGGAAGAGATTATTAGTGGCTGAGATTAGTAGTGACTTTCACTCAACTGCTGGCAATGAACTATTACAAATTCATCCTACTTTTACTCCTTTTCCAGAAGTGGAGGTTTATCAACTCCAATCTCTGAGACCACCAGGGTAATGGAACCAGGAAGGACCCTGTAGAGTTCAAGTTGAGTCCACAGCTCCTTAGTTGAGGGAGGTTAAAGCAAAAAGAAAGCAAGTGGCTTAATGCAAAACTTTCCCCTACCTGCAAGTATTGCCAAGTGACTCAACACAAAAGGAATCTGGCTGGCATACTTAAAACAGTGTGGTATAGAGCTGAAAACTCAAAACCCTATGCCATCCTCTTGGCCCACTAATTTCATTTCTAAGAATTTATTTATTTCATTTCTAATTTATACTAAGAAAGAAAATGGGTAAACAAAGAAAAAGCTATGAAAATGTCATTACAGTAGAGTTCATAGAAGTAAACAATGCCAAGTAATTTAAGTGATCAGCGAAAGTAGTAGTAACATAAGGTATGGTATATCCAAGAAGCCACTGAAAAGTTTCAGATACACAAAAAATGTTTTACCAGTTGAGTATCCCTTATTCAAAATACTTGGGACCAGAAGTGTTTCAGATTTCAGAGTTCTTTTTTGGATTTTGGGAAACTGCCAGCCTACTGGTTGAGCATCTCTAATCCCAAAATTTGACAATCAGGACTTTGGAGCACCCTGAATTTTACAGATGCTCAACCTGCAGTAAATGGCTAAATGAAAAAAAAGAAAGAACAGAACAGTACGTTCAGAATAAACCTTATAAAGAAATTTTATATGTTACAGAAAGACTGCAATAATGCACATAAAATAATTAACTACTACTTGTAGGGGGAAATAATAGTTTGCTTTTGCATGCTAAGGATTGAACTCAGGGCGTTCCACTTGCTAGCAAGTGTTCTACTACTTGAGCTCTGCCCTCAGCCCTTTGTTTTTTATTCGGTTTTTGAGATAAGGTCATGTACTATTTTTACCTGGCTGGTCTGGAACTCACCATCCTCCTGCCTCTTCTTCCCTATTAACTGGGATTGTAGGCATGAATCACCACACTCATCTTTTCTTTCTTTTTCACATGTCTGTTCTTCCTATTCTTTTACGTAGACACATGTAACTTAGTAAAGGCAAAAAGAGAAAGTGGAACAAAACAGATTCGTTTCCTTCATGTCCTAAGGAAGATTAAATTAAGAAACGAGTGTTGAATCCTTATTTCTGATCCTGGCGTTTCCACTGCAGCCATCTATCTAACCGTCCATCCATCGTGGACCACAGTGTTGAGTACTGTTAGATGAATATCGTGGACCCCAGTGTTGAGTACTGCTAGGTGAATTAAGATCCACATTCTTGGCAATGAAGGGAAACATAACAGAATGATAAAACATAATTCAGTATGATAAATCCATAGTACAAAATGTATGAAGTATTGTGAGATACGAGGAAACACTTAACTAAATGCCAAGAAAGATTAAAGATGACACTAAGGTGGAAGAAAAACAGAGATGAACCAATGTGGGTACAATACATATAAACATGGAAATATCACAAGGAAACTCCCTCTATAGATATCTTTTTTAAAATGTCATTTATTTTTTTCTTTTACAAAAGCCAAGAACAGGAGAGTGAAACAGGTCCTGTCCGGGGGAGCTGCTACCAGTGGAGAGGGGAGGAGATAGGGAATGGGTATGAGAGGGTGAATATGGTGCAAATATTGTGTACACATGTATGTAAATGGAAAAATGAGACCTGTTGAAATTATTTCAGGAATAGGGAAAGGGGAGATAAAGAATAATGGAATTCAAGCATGATATATTTGATATACTGTAAGAACTTTTGCAAATACTATAATGTACCCCCAGCAAATCAATCAATAATAATTTTAAAAAGAAAATTAAAAAAAACAGATATTAAAAAAACAGCATAAAGCCAATAAGGCAAACAGTATGGAGGTTACCCAAAAAATTAAAATAGAACTACAAAATGATACAGTAATCTTACTAGGATATAAACCCCCTAGGTATATACCCAAAGGAAGTGAAATCAGTATACTGAAGAGGTATCTATACTCCCAGGTCAACTGCAACATTATTCATGATAGCCACCATATGGAATATACCTAACTGTTCATCAGAGAATAGATGCATATATACACAATAGACCATGATTCAGCTTTTAAAAAGATGGAAATCCTGCCATTTGCAACAACACAGACAAAATTGAAGGACAGTATGTCAATGAAATAAGTCAAGCAGACAAAGACAAATAATCCATGATCTCATTCATATGTAGAATCTAAAAAGATAGAACTTATAGAAGTATAGAGTGGAATGGTGGTTACAGGGGTTGAGAGTGGTGGTGGTGGTAGAGAGTTATTGGTCAAACGATGCAAAATTTCAGTTAGAATAAGATCAAGTGATCCATTTCACAAATGGTGACAATAGTAGTAATACTGTGTAGATCTTAAATGTTCTCTCCACAAAAAAGATGACATATGACATAATACATCTCTTAATTAGCTTCATTGAACCATTCCATAATGGATGTGTATATATATATGTGTGTTTGTATGTATGTATATATGAAAACATTTTATATATGATAACCATATATAATTTTTGTCCTTTAAAAAATAAACTTTATGTTGCAGTGTTGGGTATCCAACCTATAGTTTTGTGCATGCTAGGCAAGCACTCGGTTTGGTTTTTGAGACAGAGTCTTGCTAGCTCAGGCTTGAGTTCAGGCCTTGAACTCATGATCCTTCTGCCTTGCCTGAGTACTGGATTTACATGTATGCACCTCCAAACCCAACTAATGCCATTTTTTTTTAAAAAAAATGAGTAGGAATTTTCCAGAACAGAAGTAAAAGAAATCTTGTGGATTGATAGGACAGTTCATGCAAATTTCAAATTGAGTGCAAACATGGTAAGTTTAAGGAAGGTAACCAGAAATAAGGTTATATAGGGTTGCTTAGGGATAGGGTTGCCTGAAGGACGGAAGTAGCAAGATGGAAACTGGGAAGGATTTATAAAGCCAAGTCATATCTTGTACAGAATCAGTTAATACTTTACAAAGTATTTTTGCTATTGCTGCTGTTGTGCTGAGGATCAAATCCCAGGCCTGTGTATGCTAGGTAAGCACTCTATCACTGAGCCACATCCCCAGTCTTACAAACTTCTTA